TGTGTGCTCTTCTTCATCTGCCCCTCACTTTGCCACACATTAAGCTAAGCTGAGCAGAGAGGCGAGACCGATAAAGTGAAGGTGACATTACGCAAGTGGAAAATAACCAGATTCATTTCTGTAAGTTTAATAAAAGCTGCCTAATAGACATCACTGGGTTTGTTCTTTGTGTTCATGTTTGACAACTATCATTAGATACTAAGAAGCTGGATTAGAATAAACACACAGAGATATGTTGAGCTACAGTTAGGTCACTCTTTTATAACACAAAAAGCCTCTACTACCTCTGGTCCACTTTCATCATGTGTTATTGTATAAACAACCCAGAAAAGATCAATTCATGCATATACTTACGAAAACAACAGACATCACAAGAATGATCAGGCACACTACTCCGGTGAAGGGAATAAGGTAGTAGGAAAGCGGAAAAGGAAAGTCTGGCTTGAGAATCACATACGCCCTACAAGTCAAGAAAAGAAAAAAGTAGAAATATGTTTGTTTCTGCAAACCTAATACATATAAACAGATCTGCCTACAGGTTATACATTTCCATATGTAAATTCTGTAGGCAAAGTGTCTGTACTGGAAACCTTCTGGTTTCCCTTTGCAATCTAAGGTCTGTGGACCAACAGTGTTTGAGGTTGCAGAGCAAAAGAGCGAAAACTTTGCAGAAATTCAATCTCAAAAGCATTTGACAATCACAGATGCAATTTGATTAACAGAATTCTCTTTCTTATTTACCTGCATTAGTCACGTGACATGATAACAGACAAAGATATAAGCTCGCTACAGTGGAAAGTCTGAAAACTGGCCTTTGCCTGAGAAGCTAAATCAGCAGCCAAGCCAAATGGTTTCCAGATTGGTACAAATCTAATGCTGACAATAAAAAGTTGGTTTAATCTACAGTTTATGTTTAATATTACTGGTATTGTTCTTCCTTACCCCTGTTCCGGAATTATGTAATTCCTAAGAAAGTGCGAGGCATAGTAGCTGGCGAATACAGAGGGAATATTAATCTGTTCTGCAATAGTTTCTGAAAAAGAAAAAAAAATACAAAACAACAGGAATCAGACACACACAGTAGGACAGTACAATAGCAAATATTTATATTTGTAATATTTGTTTTCCCATGTTTATAATAGCACAAATAATTACCATTGCTGTAGTTCATATTGAGCAGAATTTCTGAATAAATGTTGTGAACGATTGCGGCATCGTATCCAGCTTGCTGTGCATTTAAAACCTGAAACAAGTTCCTTACATTAGAGCAGTGTGCTTCTCAGAAAACAAATATTCAGT